TATGAAACATATGTTTTGCAAGTCCTAACATTGCAATAATTGAGAAAGTGAGAAATATTGAGAAAAAACTTGAGAAAAAAATTTGCGAAATATCGCGATTTGGATCAATTTCGGCAGCATAGTAATTATGGACCTAATTTTTGAAACATTGGGCTATGGAAAAGTTTTGGATTTTTTCTAAACATCCCACCTTGAAAAAAAGGTTTCTGTTGTCCTGTCAATTCGAAAAAAATGCCGAGTTTTCGCTCAATAAATTCATTCGGAAAAAGGCTTTTTTTCCGAAAATTAAAAAAAAAACACTGACAATTTGATCGTCAGAATTACCTTTGAGAGCACATTTTATGACAATCCAGCTGATGAAGTGTACAGCGGATTCCTTCAAGATCGACCAACATGGACAGAATTGTATTTTATATATGTGTTGGACCTTTAGGTTGATGGCTGTGGAAAAGTTTTGGAAGTTTTAACTCGGGAATCTGTACGAACCCTTGTAAAATGTTCAAAAAGTGGACATACGAATGCAGCGAGAATCTTTCTTTTCTTTCAGTAGAGAGTGCGCGAGAGACGTGTTGTCAGCGAAGTAATCTAATTTGTCTAATAAGCAAATCAGCGCGAGAATTCATGCAATAATCATGGTAAAAATGTCGTTTACATTGTTTTGCAGTGGTATGCCAAGACCTACCTTTGAAGACTGCCCTGTAAGTTAACGCATTATATTAATTCATGCATGAATGAAAACGTTCAACATCGAATACTTCAGTTTATTCTATTTATAGTTTGTTAAACTCCACGTAAGTTCCGCTACAAAAATAACAATTCTTAAAGCACGCCACACACGATAGAAAACCGTGGAAAGCAAATGCCACACGAGTCGCTATGTTCAGCCTGTGCGCGCCAACTTTTGCTGTTCACGGTTAGCAAACCGCTGATCAAAGCGACTCGTGTAGCATTTCCCGTACGCACTTTCCTGTCGTGGGCATCGGGCTTAAACTTCATTGCTTTCCATTTCTTGGAATACACAATCTCAAGTATCCAAGTGAACGTTTTCTGAAATAGCTATATGCTTTCAATGTTTTAGTAGCTATTTGATTG